CCGATGGTTTTTCCCTGATGTCCTTGATGTTCCTCTGCACAGAAACCCAGCAGCCTCTTGGAGAAGTCAGGGATGCTATGTTTATGTTGAAGTTTACTGTAAAGCCGATTGCAGACACAAAGTCTGGAAAATGTTCCTGAAGTTTACTTTCATGTATGAAGGAGGCTGCAGAATGTTGTCCAGGTCAGACGCACTCACAGGAGAATGTCCTGATCATTCAGGTTCAGGGCAGAACACACAGCGTGATTTGTAAATTCTGCTGCGGAAATCTCGTGATTTTGTTTACAGGACATCAACACAGACGTCGGCAGAGGCTCTTGAATCTTTTTGTCTTGTCACATGAGCTCACTTCAACATTTTTAGTTTGTGGGTTTCCTCTGGAACAGCATCCCACTGGATGAGAGTCCGAACCCCTGCAGTCGCTCCAGTTCTTCACCTCGTTACTGATCTCTGGTAAGTTGTTACATGTTCTTTGACGGTCTCATCATTTGCCACCAGCTTCAGGTGCCCTTGAGCAATGACAGAAGTGGGCATGTGCCGAGGGCCCTGGGAGTTTTTTTGTTCTTTTAAATATTGAAGTTAACGTGATTTTGATAAATGTTGATTTACAAAGTTGTTTGAATGTTAAACTTGATTAACAAACACATTGACAGATTTAGGGGACATATAGAATTCTGGGTGTAGTGAATTTGAACTTGGTGGAGGTGTGCGCTCTACTGCATGTCCTTCGATGTGCTGCAGATCTATTGCAGTGAAGATTAAACCAGAAGATGTCCGTGACAAACTGCCCTCACTTTGTCAATGCAGAAAATGAAGTAAACTTCCACGACAGGAAGTCAAGATCCCTGAAATACCTACTTCTTCTTCTTCTTTGCATCACTACAGTTGAGATAAGGACGTTGGTACAGGAGAGTTATCAGTTCCAGAACCACTGCAGCATTTCACCACCTCTCTCTCTCCCTCTCGTCCTTCACTTCTTCTCCCCTCCTCTCTCTGCTGAGTCCCGCCTCATCACCTCTCTTTCCCTCTTCCACACTCCTCTTGCGTTCTCTCATCTTTTTCACCCCCCTACTGCTGTATCCTCTGCTCCCCCCTCCTCCCCACATGTCTGTCTGTGCGAAACTGGAGCAACGTCTTAATCGAGGCTCAGAGACGTGACGGGAATGTCTGAGCAACCCCCGGCTCTGCAGTACACACACACACACACACACACAAACACAGCAACAGACACATTCTGCTTGGCAGCCAATTAACAACCTGCAATCCAGTGCCAAAGGAATAACTGCATGTTGATGAGCTGGAGGCTGTGTGTGTGTGTGTGTGTGTGTGTGTGTGTGTGTGTGTGTGTGTGTGTGTGTGTGTGTGTGTGTGTGTGTGTGTGTGTGTGTGTGTGTGNGTGTGTGTGTGTGTGTTTGTGTGTGTGTGTGTGTGCGTGTGTGTGTGTGATGAGCTGGTGGCCATCAGAACCACTTACACAGATAGAAGGATATCTCTTTTATGTGTTCTGGGGAAAGAGGGGGATTATGCTGCATTAAAAACCGTCTCCAGCAGGGACTAACTAAGACAGGAACAAGGAAGTGTGAGTTTGTGGATGACATTTGTGTGTGTGTGCGTCAATAAATGTGTGCGTGTGTTTGTGCACACAAGCAGCATCAGAAGAACAATGCAGATGATTTACATGGAGCTGAGCCTTGCTTTCTCCTCCTCATCCTTCCTCTGTTTCCGCTACCTTTCGTTCTCCTCCTCCTCCTCCTCACTTCCATCCTGCCTTCACTTTGGGGAGTTCATCCAAAGGTGAACGCTTGACTAAAAAAAAATCCCTCTTTCCCCCCCAAAAAAACTCCTACATTCTCTTTATGTGTCAAAAATATTGACACCAGCCTTGGCACAATCCCTGAGCAGCGAGCGCTGTGTTTGCCAGTCCAGGTTTCATCATCCATCTTTTTTTCTTTTTTTTTTCTTGAGAGATGGAATATGTTGAAAAGAAGACTGTGGGTTGAAATCTGCCTTCTGTGTTGTTCTTGCCCTACTTCTCTGCACAGCCCACAGTTTCGGTCTTTGCTGTGCACTGTCTGGGTAAATAAATATAAAACAGGCAATTAAAAACAAGTGAAGACAATGATATTTGCAGGATCATTGTGTAATGAAGATTTATTATAGCATTAATATGGTCGTGGTGTTCATTTTGAATGAATCTACAATAATCTGTACATGTCACAAAAAATAACACAATGATTAATAAGAGGGACACTCATGAATTAATCAATTAAAATTTAATTGCTGTTAATTAGAGGATGAAAATAACTGACAATGTCAATGAACTGAGTTTTTTTCATGTGCGTCAGTGTATACATTTGTTTTTATGAACTCTGATGACAACTAGTGGTGAAGTGCTGGGATAGCAGATTAGTTACTGCAGTGTTGAAGGGAAATATTCCGGTAAAATTAAGAGTAAGGAAATGCTGCTATCTGCTGGAAGTATGTGTATATTACAGGAGGGAAGAGAAGAGCTCTGTGTTTATAACAAAGAGAATGTGTCAATAATGTTTCATGCCTCTGACACGAACATATATCAATATTTAAAAAATAATTTATTTCTGCAATGTCACATTTGCTAGTTTAGTCCAGTCAAATGAACAAGTATATACAAATAGAGAGAAACAAAAAGTGACCTGCAGATTTGGAGATGACATCTACAAATCATTCTACAGAGAGGTTTGAGAGGACACTGTTAAATGTTTTAAAAGGGTTAGTGATGATGATATTAATATTTCAAGCAGAAAACTTTCCTTTAAGTCTTTTAAACTTCAAAGTTCAAGCAGCAGTTGTTCTGAGAAAGAATCAGAAAGAAATAGTTCTAAAAGGTCACAGAGTTATAATAGAAGTTGAGTTGACTGCGTTCATTCTGCAGCTTAGTGACATCTAGTGTTGAAGTCTTGCAAATGCAGGAGGCTTCTTGATCGTTCAGGAACGATCCCGTGACGTCAGGAGTCCTGACTAACAGCCCCACCCAGTGGAGAGCCGTGGTAACGACTGGAAAGTTCCTGAAGCCTCTGGATCTCCTGCAGTCAGAGTATAAAAGCTGAGACCGTCCCACAGCTGAGACAGACAGAAACACAAGCAACACTGAAGAGACTCCCAACAAGACGACTCCACACTGAACTGTGAACATGCTGTGCTCTCATGGACTCCACTCTGCCCTCAGTCCATCCATCAGCTTCTACTGGCCTGTACGCAGCATGTGGCCTGAGGTCAAACCTCTGCTCCACCAGCAGGATCTCCTGCAGAGGAACCTCCAGCAGCTGTGCAGCAGTCTGCAGCTGATGGACACACTTCCACACCACCTCCTGGAGGAGAAGGAGCGTCTCCAAACCAGCGAGGCCGAGCAGCCCGTCTCCTTCCAGCTGCAGAAAGAGGGACAGCACTTTGGCCTGACCCTGGACACTCGAGGCTTCTCCCCAGAGGAGCTGTCTGTCAGGCAGGTGGGCAAGAAGCTGAGAGTCAGCGGGAGGACGGAGAAGAAGCAGGAGGACGGGAAAGGCTCCTACTCCTACAGGCTCCAGGAGTTCAGACAGGAGTTTGATCTGCCTGAAGGGCTGAAGCCTGAAGCCGTCACCTGCTGCCTGGCTCCAGACGGGAAGCTGCACATCCAGGCAGCCAGAGCTCCCTGTGCTGAGGAGGTCGAGAGAGAGCTGACGATCGAGAGGAGCACGGAGGAGACAACCCAGCAGAGTGTGTGTTCACACACAGAAGACAGCAGCACGGAGACAGACGACAGCACACAGGACAAAGCTCCACACACGGACTGATCTCAGTGCTGCTGTGAACATGTGCTGGACATGTTTCTGTAAAAGAGATGAATGATGATTCTGATGATCAAAGTGTCATCAACAAATACATTGAAACTATAGAAAGTATTTAATATTGATGAACAATGATCATGTTTTTGTTTGGATGTATGAATAATCATATTAAATAAATGTACTACAACTACATCATTATTTCTTCTGTGTATTATTTAATTGTTATTTTAATTTGCCCAAATCATGAGCAGGTAAACTTACAAAGAACAAAATTGAACGTGAAAAACAGGAAGGACACTTCACAAATACCCACAAAATGCCACAACTGGCACAACTGACAAAAAAATCAGAAAATGATCTCTGTAAAATATACAAACAATAAGCAAACTTTTCTACAATAATTTGTCAATAATCTGAAAAAAGTACTCAATGAAAATATCTAAAATATGTTAGAAATAAATATATAACCTTAATTTCAATGATTTCACTTCAAAGTATAGAAATACACTTCAGTATTCTGCTCTCTCATGTTTGTCCTGTTATGATTATAATATACTAAATAAGTTATTATTATTTAGAGGGTAGATCACGTCGACTTTATTGTTTGTAAAATATATTTATATAGTTTATTTAGACAAACAATCTTCAATCTAAACTAAAGTTATATAAAGTTGACTCTGCTACTGTGAGTATTGATTTCCCAAAATTCTTTGTTTGATTCTTATAATATAATATAATAGGAGATCATAAAATAACCTTGTGTCACTACACAGTGTTCATCTTCACTGAGGAGATTGTGAAACTGTGAATATTAACAGAAGTGAATTATTCTATCCTTTAAAATTAAATTTTATTGTTGATTTATCAAACACATAATTATTCAAACCACCTTCACCAGGACGTTATAAAGCTCATGATTCAATAGGTGGAATTTAAAATATGACTCGTCTGCAGAACATAGAGAAAATAAAACCAGTAAATGTTGAATCACATCCCGACTATCATGAAAGTAAGTTACCGAGTAATTGTCCGTGTTAATTCACAGTTAATTCCAGTTCAAACCTGTATTTAGAGATCAGGCACAAAGGAGCTGTCTTTACTTTCAACTTCTATATTTTTTACCATAACAAGACATGTTTGCAACCAAAATGATTTTTTTTTTTACCATCAGAAAAATAAGACGTCAAAGAGAAATTGTTGGATTTTTGGTGAATTTATTGATTAAAAAATTCATTTGAAAAACAGAATCATTTCATTTAATATGATTATTCATACATCCAAACAAAAACATGATCATTGTTCATCCATATAAAATACTTTCTATAGTTTCAATGTATTTGTTGATGACACTTTAATAATCAGAATCATCATTCATCTCTTTTACAGAACATGTTCCAGCACATGTTCACAGCAGCACTGAGATCAGTCTGTGTGTGGAGCTTTGTCCTGTGTGCTGTCGTCTGTCTCCGTGCTGCTTTCTTCTGTGTGTGAACACACACTCTGCTGGGTTGTCTCCTCCGTGCTCCTCTCGATCGTCAGCTCTCTCTCGACCTCCTCAGCACAGGGAGCTCTGGCTGCCTGGATGTGCAGCTTCCCGTCTGGAGCCAGGCAGCAGGTGACGGCTTCAGGCTTCAGCCCTTCAGGCAGATCAAACTCCTGTCTGAACTCCTGGAGCCTGTAGGAGTAGGAGCCTTTCCCRTCCTCCTGCTTCTTCTCCGTCCTCCCGCTGACTCTCAGCTTCTTGCCCACCTGCCTGACAGACAGCTCCTCTGGGGAGAAGCCTCGAGTGTCCAGGGTCAGGCCAAAGTGCTGTCCCTCTTTCTGCAGCTGGAAGGAGACGGGCTGCTCGGCCTCGCTGGTTTGGAGACGCTCCTTCTCCTCCAGGAGGTGGTGTGGAAGTGTGTCCATCAGCTGCAGACTGCTGCACAGCTGCTGGAGGTTCCTCTGCAGGAGATCCTGCTGGTGGAGCAGAGGTTKGACCTCAGGCCACATGCTGCGTACAGGCCAGTAGAAGCTGATGGATGGACTGAGGGCAGAGTGGAGTCCATGAGAGCACAGCATGTTCACAGTTCAGTGTGGAGTCGTCTTGTTGGGAGTCTCTTCTGTGTTGCTTGTGTTTCTGTCTGTCTCAGCTGTGGGACGGTCTCAGCTTTTATACTCTGACTGCAGGAGATCCAGAGGCTTCAGGAACTTTCCAGTCGTTACCACGGCTCTCCACTGGGTGGGGCTGTTAGTCAGGGCTCCTGACGTCACGGGATCGTTCCTGAACGATCAAGAAGCCTCCTGCATTTGCAAGACTTCAACACTAGATGTCACTAAAACTTGTGTCACTATTTTAAAATGCCACTTCACCCAGAATGAAATAAAGCTATTATCAGATGTTAGAAACTACTGGAAGGAAACACGTGAAGTCAAAATAACTAGTAAGAGTATTCATAGAAGTAGAAGTGGTTGTTTACAGCAGCTTTTGGCTTGTAGGCATATTTAATAAATACATATAAAATAAGGACATTATTAAATTGAACTCACATTGCCTCCATATCTTCTCACTCATCATAGTTCAGCAGCTCAGAGGTCCTCATGTCCGTAGACAGGATTTATTCTCCTGCAACCACATTACTGTGAAACCACTGTCTGCATATTAGTACTGAAATCAATGACGGAGACCAGACAGGGAAGAGAAAAGAATTTCTACTGCGACCGAGACATATTATCCCTAAGAATTTAAGAATTCATATTTGATTTATAATTTGTCCATTTACAAAAACTGCTCAGTGTGGACACAGTGAGTCTCCCTGTCTTGTCTCTCTTCTCCTTTAGTGTCTTTCTCTCAATTTCCATTCTCCCTGGAGGACTCTCTTCCCATCTCCTGCCTGTCATCCTCCAACAAAATAGTCCTTCCTTTGTTTTAATGCAGGACTCACCAAGACAAAAATGGATTTACTTACACATTTTTTAATATCTGAGTTCTGCAAGGTTTCGCTCATGTTCTGTAGAAAGCCAGGATCCAAAACATACTACAGAGTTTAAAAAAATCACATCTTTCATATTTGTTTTAAAAACCTACATGCAAATCAGAGCCCTTACTGTGACCAACACTTTTTAATGCAGGTGCATAGAAACACAACTGTGGATTTCCATAATGATCCAACTGACTGACCTCATACACCCTCCAAAGGTCAGACTACAAATTCTTTAAGTAATTTTTCACCTTTATTTTGAGTCCTTATCTGCACCTTTAAAACAGATTGTGTGGTTAGTGGCTCAATCAAAATATAATTATATATACTGAATATTAATATTTAAGAGTATTTTTTTTAGAGACAAACATTTATTTACCTTACCATACATTTTTATAGCAATCCAGCAACACAACAACATTAAGCTTGGTTCATCTCCAATTATACCTCATTCCTCATAATTTGAAGACAGCTGAATAACATTACCAGTCAGTTCTGTTAATTATTAGAAATTCATAAAAGGACTTGCTAGAATTTGTTGAGTTGTGTAAAATTGGGAAACTCTTTTTTTCCAGAACAAATTAAAAGATGTGACTTTAATAATAAATCATTAGGAGACTTACAAAAGGCTCCACATGAAAACATTTGTTTCAGCTGATCAGGTCTAGTTTCAGTGTTGTTACCCACCCAACACCAAAAACTGGATATTTTGAAATGTACTCTTGGTTTTTGAGTTCACATGAGTAAAACATGAGAAAACAGAAATTAAATCATGTTCACCTGGGAACAGATCACAAAGACATTTATAGCATTCTTTATGCACACGATGTCAGGTATTCCATTAATATCATCCTTACAGGGTCACAACATAAGAGTTTTGACCTGAAAGAGTACAAATACACAATCAGTATTGATTAACAAACATTTGTGTAATGCCCTCTGAATAGTAGTACCCTTGAGGTAGATCAGTCTAGTTGCGTAACTCTTTGAAAGTTCATTACATGCGTCCATCATTAGGCACAACCTGCTTGACAGGAAGATGGACTCCAATGTCCACATGTTTTGAAATGCGGTGGCAGCATTTCATCCTGTCCTCAATCGTATTTGGCAGGCAAATGAGCCTCAGCATCGACCGGGAAGATTCTGCAGCTGGTTCCACAGCGTCAGCATCTCTTTGGGACTGCGTCTGTGAACCAGCAGGACAGATCTGTATGCGCACGGGTTGCCCTTGTCCATTTCCGGGAGGTCAAATGTCAAAAAGCCCGGGTGATGGCCGGGAGAGAGACCGAGTCTGTGCAGGCACATTCCCAGGTAAACATCGTCAATGGGGAAAAGGCGCACCCTCTCCGATACCTCTTTCAGTCGCAATGCAAGCGAGCGAGAGTACACCACCCCTCCTCCACCTGCGTACGGAGGGTAAACACCCTTGTAGAAGCGTTCTGGTATGTAGTATTTAGTGGAGGGTTCACGGTTTGGCATTGCGTTGTTGATGACATCCCCCACAAACAAATCCAAGCTGCTGTCATTTGTGTAGGCCCTCAACTGGTTGTGCTCCACCTGCTGGTGCAGGTAATCCAGCAGGGCATCTGTCCGAACAAAGACATCATCATCGCCTTTGAACACAAACATGGCGGTGGGGCAGTGCTGCTGGAGCCAGCGCCAAAACAACAAATCCTTTAGTGTCAGGTTAAAGAAGGTGTCTCTGAAATCCCACTGCAGGATATCCCCATATTTCCGGTTCTCCAGATCCAGCAGATTGGTAAGGTTTGGGTGGGGGCCTGTGCTCGAGTCCTGCCGTCCAAGTAGAAACACTGTGCGAACTAATCTGCCTCTCTTATTCGATTCCATCTTCACCAGGCCGTTGCGTCCCCACGTTTCTCGGATGGCCTGCCTGTTTTCAAAGTTCCCCACTTGGGATTTGATGGCCATGAGGAGCATGGGAGTACCCAGACCAAAGCTGCTGCTGTTCTTCCTACATATACCAGGCTGATTAATGAGGAGGGGGTACTCCCTGCAGTGCATGGACCTGATAAAAGCCCTCATTTGTTCTGGCAGGCTGTTTAAATCATTCACACGAGGGACCGAGCACTTGTGTGACATGCAGTCAGAGAGGCACTCATCCTCAATTTCTGATAAAAGCTTCGCTTTCGGCTTCCTCATGACCCCAGTGGTGTTTCCTCGCAGTAGAGGATTGTGCTGACGATCCCAAACATGCTGCAACTGGTTCCACAGAGCACTGTCCTCCAGGCGGAGGTTCCAGAAGGGACTGAGGGGGTGAGAGGCCAGAGCAGAGGAGTTGGCTGAAATGCCCGGGGCGACATAGTGGATGGTTATTTTTGGAGGAGCGTAGGTGATGGTGACGAATATGGACACCATGACATAAATCAGGAGGTGGCCGGTCATCATGCAAGGCAGCAGGCACATGCACAGCAGTCTGCTGTTGCATTTGCAGCATCTGCCCATCGCCTGTGGTGAATGAATCAGACACACACCTGCACACAGATAAGCAAATAACAGATTAGGGGATAAGATGAATTACAGCTCTTCCAAAATGCAGTAGTCAATTTTTTGACTGTCCTCATTGCTGCTGTAACACAGCAAATGTCCCCATTGTAGGACTAATAAAGGATTATCTTATCTTATCTTATCTTAACTTAACTTA